CGTGTCCAACTAAAAAATAAGTATTGGAAAAAAAAAAAAAGAAGAAGACAACCTTTCGCTGCAGCCCACACTCTGGGACAACACAGCCCATCACCTCCCAGTGCCCTGCCTGGCATACCACCACTTACGTCTCGTGCCAAGCAGAGCCGGCTCCTGGGGCGCCGAGGGAGCCAGGAGCCGCTGCCAGCAGGGCCATCTGCTCGCCCGCTCCCACAGCCGACCCCACAGTGAAGGAGCGCTGCGTCCAACAGGGTCCCGTGAGGGGCCGCAGCCATCTGCCCAGGCAGAAAGCAGGGCACGGAGGGGGCCCCGGGCTCTACTGCCACATCATCACCTTCCCGGCACGGGAGGGTCAGTTCCTGAGACACTTCCCAGAAGGCCTGCAGAGGAGCTGTCAGGTCCCGGCGCTGACTCCGTGCCGTGCGCATCCCTGACCACATCTCGTGAGGACGCGCCTGGCACGGAAGCAGCCGGAAGCAGCCGGCTCCCAGCCACAGCATGTGGAGGTGGCCCTCTCAGGACCCGATGCAGCCCCAGCAGGGAGGTGGCCCGCAGGGAGGTGGCCTGCTGATTCTTCCGCGCTGGGAACTAACACTAAGGAGACACAGGACCCAACCTAACAAATGAGCCCAGAGGCACCGGACTCTCTGGGGGAGATTCACAGAGGTGCCCGCACCCCGGAGCTGGAGCAGCGCTACCTCTGTTCCCAGACCAGAGCCGGGGCAGAGGGACTCCCCGGCTGGCACAGGGGCAGAGCCAGACACAGGCCTGGTGGCTGCGCCCACGCGCTCCCCTCTGCACCTGCTCTTCCTTGGCCTGTAGTAAACTGCAGGCTCCAAAGTCCATGGCTCCCAACCAGTAAATGCTGTGTGCAGGCAGAGCGCCCTCACCGCTGGGACGGGACACACACATGCCTGCACCAGGAGGCAGGATGGAAACGGTGCTGCCTGCTTCTGAGGGAAGCCGGACACACCCGAGAGCACCTCTGGCCGCCAGGAGGAAAAGAGGCGCTGGAAAAGGAGGCAGGTGGCCTGGGCAGAGCAGGGCAGCGAGCGCCAACAGCCCTGTCAGACCCCAAAGAGCAAGGTCAAGAGGATGGGGGGCACAGAGAGAAGTGGGACCCGAGGGTGAGGACACAGGCACACAGGGGTTCCACCAGGGCGGTGACAGGTGGCCCAGCGACACAACAGGGGAGATAAGGAGATCAAGAAGAGGAGGCAGGCGCGCCCAGAAGACCCAGTCCCCGGGATTCAGCAGCGGCCGCCCAGGGTCGAGCCAGTGACTCCTCAGAGGCATGGAGAGATGTGACCCCTACAGGTGTCCCTTGGTACCCACAGGGCACTGGTTCCAGGACACCCTGAGGACACCACAAACTGCAGACGCTCCATCCCAGATATAAAAGGCGTACCACCCCACACAGCCTGGGCACTCTGTGCGCTCTGAGTCTTCTCTCCTGATCACTTAGGGTCCCCAAGGCAACAGGGACGCAATGCAAAAGCTCTACCGCATTGTTCAGGGAACATGGCGAGAAAAATGTTAAAAAGGGAGTCCATCCAGGTTCAGTACAGCCCGCAGCAGCAGCAGCAGTGACAAACCTGGCACTTTATTTTTTCTTGAATATTATAGATACACAGTTGGTTACATCCCAGGATGGAGACCCAGGGACAGGGCACTGACTCTAGGACACACAGAGGGAAGGAAGGAGGAGAGAGGAACCCCGGTGCCCGTGGGTCTCTGGCCACACCCCAGAAGCAAAACAGCAGCCGAGTCCCTCCAGGATCAGATCAGGGACAGAGAATCTGCTGCCCTGACTCCCCTGGCCCCAGGCAAACAGAAACAGCTGGCCACCCTAGACCTCCCTCCCAGACAGGCTGAGAAGGCCTGAGAATGCAAATGAGGACCCCCTGAGTGAGTTTCAGTCAAAGGTTAAAGGGACAGAGGAGGGGCTGGGGGCTGGGAGGACCCACAGGCAGGAGGAGACCTTGGCCTGAAAGGTGGGGCTGGGGGTGAGCTGGCAAAACAGAGAGGAGGGGCCGCCCCATCCCGTGGTCATAATGGCACGCAGGACCTGCTCTGTGCAGGAAGGGGGCCTCAGGCTGGAGGGACTGGGCATCCTGGGAAGCTCCTGCCCTGAGGGTTAGCAGGAGTCCTCGGAGTGGAACCCCAGGGAGACCTGGGACCACCTGGGCGCTCTCAGCCACATTCCCTCAAGTGCAGGTCCAAGAGGGCCAAATGAACAGGACAACTGAACTGGTCTACAGAAAGGTGATGAGGGAAGGTACACGCAGGGCCAGAAGCAACAGAAGTGTCATGGTGACCTCCTCTGACCACACTGTCTCACCTCCCCCTGGGAGAAGCCCCTCCAGGGTGGTTTTGAGGATAACTCCCACACTTTCATAAGGCCCCGTCCAGCTCCCGACCAGGCAGAGGAAGGGGCTCCTTCCTACTGAGAAAGGGCCACATAGACCTCTCCATGTCACCCACCGCCACTTACAGTTCTTAACTCCAAATGCAAAACACTGCACAGGCAGCTAACATGACCCCCAGAGAGGTCTAGGTGACAGCTCAAGGTCATCTCCTGAACAAGAAGGGGAGAGGGGGCAGGGGAGGGGCCCAGGGGCAGTCGGAGACCCAGCCCTCGCCCTCGGTGGCAGCAGCCCCAGCAGCCCCTCTCTCCTCCTCCTCACCACCAGCCTTCGCTTCCTGTTTTCTCCCAGCACAGGGGCCGGTCTCCAGGCCCAGCCCCCACGGAATGCAGCTGTTTCCAGCCTGGGAACCCCCGACCCACCCAGATCCCCAGGGTTCAGAAGCCCATCTGCCCTGGGCTGAGCCTAACACGACAGTGAGCAAAGACCCAGCTCCTGGGTTCTGCAGGCCGCTGTTTCTACCCAGGAAATCTTGACAGAGTGAGCGTCCCCCTTCCTGGACTCAACCCCTGGACACCAGGTTCCTACCGCGTCCCCCTGGGCGGTTAACCAGGAGCATGCCCATTCTCAGGGATGAACTGTTGACTGTCATTTCTGTAGACCGATTTCCTTTTCCAAAGAATGAACCATATCCCTGACAGTGTGTTTACTTTCTTTTTCTTTGAACATTCCAAGGTCTAATTTCAAGATTGGCTCCTTGGTACAAAGAAATACATTATATAATAAAGTGCTGAATCCTCTGTGAACCAAAAAATTCCTAAAGAGAAGGGCTTGCTGGGCACAAAGGTACACTCCTGTTAATCCCACCTACTCTGGAGGCAGAGGCAGGAGGACTGCAAGTTTGAGGCCAGTCTAACAATTTAGCAAAACCCTGTCTCGAAATAAAAAATAAAAAGGAAGGGCTGGGGATGTAGCTCAGTGCCTCTGGGTTTGATCCTCGTATTGGAAAAACGAAAAAAAAAAAAAAAAAAGCAAAAACCACAACAGAGAGAAGACCTTAATTTTTGGCAAAAACAACAACAAAACAAACGGCTCAGGAGGCTGAGGCAGGAGAATCACAAGTTCAAAGCCAGCCTCAGCAACAACGAGGCCCTAAGCAACTAGGGAAACCCTGTCTCTAAATAAAATACAAAACAGGGCTGGGGATATAGCTCAGTGGCCGAGTGCCCCTGAGTTCTATCCCCAGTACCCCCCCCCCCAAAAAAAAACCTACAAAAAAAATATCATTGGTAAGTGAGGATGATATCTTAAGGAATTTTTTTTTTTTTTTTAATGAGCACAGATAGCGCGCACACACACACACACAAAAACCACCTCAAGTTAACTATTAACTTAGGGTCTAAATATCTGTTTCAAATGAGTGCTGTGCTTACCTCAAAAGGCTACCTTATCAAAAGTAGTATGAAAAAAATGAGGGCATATTAAAATAATTGTTTTCTTAAAAAAAAAAAAAAAAAAAAAAGAGGAAAAGCCAGATGTGGTGGTACACAGCTGGAGTCCCAGCAACTTGGGAGGCTGAGGCAGAAGGATCACAAGTGGGAGGCCAGCCTTAGCAACTTGATGAGACCCTGTCTCAAAATATAAAAAGGGCTGGGGTTGCAGCTCAGTGGTAAGAGCACTCCTGGATTCAATCCCCAGCACTGCAAAAACAAAACACAAAACAAAACGAAACATCAGAGGAAAAATCTGCAAGAAAGTACATAAAACAGTGCACAACGGTAATGCTAAGCTGATAGAATAATGGTGATTATTTTCCTTCTTTTTCCAAATGCTATTGCGTATTATCAAAGGTGTGTACAGGGCTGGGTACGGTCAGGGGAAGAGCATGGCTCAGAATGCTCAGGGGCCTGGGCTCCAGTTCCAACGATATCCCCTCCCCCACCAAAGCTGTTTACAGTTAAACATGTCTAATTTTTCTGTTTGGGGGTACTGGGAACTGCATTCAGGGGCACTCGGTCACTGAGCCACATGCCCAGCCCTATTTTGTATTTTATTTAGAGACAGGGTCTCACTAAGTTGCTAAGGGCCTCACTATTTTGCTGAGATTGGCTTTGAACTCTCGATCCTCTTGCCTCAGCCTCCTGAGCCACTGGGATTACAGGCATGTGCCACTACGCCCGGCTTTTTATTTTTTAAATATTTATTGTTTAGTTGTAGTTAGCCACAATACCTTTATTTTATTTATTTATTGTTTTATGTGGTGCTGAGGCTCGAACCCAGGGCTCGAACACGCTAGGCAAACGCTCTACCGCTGAGCCACTACCCAGGCCCCAGCTTTGTTTGTGTTTGTTTTCTGAAACAGGGTCTCACTATATTGCTCAAACTGGCCTCAAACTTGTGATCCTCCTGCCTCAGCCTCCACAACAGCTGGGATGGTCACAGGACCATATCTCCATGCCTGGAGATTTTAAAAGCAGTACTTTTATATTTATGTATGCTTTATGAATAATTGTAAAAGCACTAAAAAAATCCTTGGTGTATTCTTTCTGAGGTTTTCTCTTTAAGAAGGGAACAAAAGTATCCCAAACCTGTTTGGAAGAAAGACTGAACAACAAAAACGAAAGGCCTCCTTACCTGAGGTTTAACTTTCGGTCTTCATCGCTGCCAGCCTCCAACTAGGGAGAAAGAAAGAGAATGTCACAGCCAGACAGCACTGTCAACAAGCCTCAGACAGGAGGCTCCGGCCCTCTGCCCTGGTGTCGGGAGAGATAAAGATGTCCAGGAAACCTGGCCACTTGAAACAGCCCTGCCCTTTCCTGGCCAGCCTGGTCTGCTGTTCCCCTGGGGTGATTCCCAGGGAGGAATTTCCAGATTTCTAACTGTATGCCAACCCTCCTGCCACCCACGGCCTGGAGGGCTGAGCCCCGAGGGACCATTTCCCACCTGACAGTCCTTCAGCCCTTAGTGCTCTTCAGACTTGCTCTAGATCTCACCCTGGGTTATTTTATTTCATTTTTGTTTTTGCTGTTGTTTGTTTTTTCTCTTAAAGGGAAGGGGCCGTGTTTAATGGAATCCACTTCCTCTGCCAACCCGGCGACAGCCCTGAGAGGAAGACCATTTAAGAAATCCATTCCAGGCAAGTCTTGGACCGTGGAGGGCAGCCAAGCAGCTGGCCGTTCGTGGGCCTGAGACGATCTTGCTCGTTCTCAAAAAGACTTAAATGTTTAATATGGAAGGTTCCAGGCTGCTGGTTCATTCATATAAATGAAAGGAAGTAATACCCAATATTTTCTAAAAGCGAAAGGCCGAGAGGTGGAACTCCAAAAGTCACTCTGACTGAAGTCCCAATCACTTATTTTTATTTTACTGTTTTCCAGAAATGAGCAGAAATCACGCGTGCCCCCCAAACGCCTCCGCACCCCAGGGACGTACACAGAGGCGCCCAGTGAATGGAGAAGGAAGCCCTGGGGAGGCTGGGTGGCCAGGAGAGGCCCACTGAGGGCAGGACGAGGCAGAGGCCCAGGATGCCAGGAGAAGGCCCAGCGCAGCAGGGGACACACCCCCAACAGGGAGGTGGCAGTTCCAACAAGAATGAGTACACCAAGGATCCCGGAATCCCGAGTGGTGTGGAGATGACGCTCAGCACCATGCAGAGGCGTCCATGTGCTCAGGGTCCCTTCCCCACACTGGAGAAGTGAAACCCGACCATGGGGCTGGGTCCTGCAGAGAAGTACAACAACACTCTGACCCGGTGACTCTCCACGAGGGGACACTGGGCGGCGTCCAGAGGCGTTTGTTGTTGTTGGAGGGTGCTACTGGCATCTAGTGGGTGCAGGAGGGGAAGCTCTGAGCATGGCACAGCACGTGAAGAGCCCCCCGGAACAGAGAACCCCGGGATCCAGGGGTCAGCAGGGCCCAGGCAGAGAAACCCTGGCCGCCCCCCCACAAAACCACTTGGCAATTTGCTTATGAAAATCGGTCACCTTGAATCTTGGTCAAAAATAACAATGTTATGATCCACTCCTGAAAGCTATTGATTTATCTAGTCTCTGCTCCGCCTGTTCCCACAAAGGACCTGAGATAAGCTCATGCATGAGATAATTACAGATTGAAAAAGAAAAGGGAAAAAAAACTGAGGAGAGAGAGTTGCTCCAGGGCCCAGGGCTGTGATTTCCCTCAGAGTCCCACAGCTGTGTCAGGAAGCTGCTGAGGTGTCTGTGACTCACCCAAGGAGCTGCCCTTTGATGAGTGATAAAGGGACGTGGGGGTACAGACTTCACAGCCACTTGATTCTCAGCCAGCCTCTGAGGCTTTGATGCAAGGCAGGGTGAGGTCGGTTACCCCAGAGAAGCTACAGAGCCTCTTGAAGAGGTGACCCAGTCCTTTCAGAGGACCTGAGGCACAGAGAAGGGAAGTGACCTTAGAAAGGGTAGACCAGAGGCACAGCCAGTCTGGACCCGGGTCTGCTGACTCCACACACACCTGCCTTCCCTTCCAGCCAGCTTCTGGCCTCACATCTGGAAGACAGCCTCACCCTCCTGAAAACAGGCCAACCTCTGCTCCTCATTGAGCAAAAAAGGCTGCTGATATACTAAAGTCAAATAAAATCCAGCTGAGTTTTATTCTGCTCAACTAGGTCCTTGGTGCTTGGTTTAAAAAAAAAAAAAAAAGACACTTTATATAATAATTTAAAATGGGCCTAGTGGAAAGAAAACAAATGTGCAACCAAACGTGGTACATGTGTACGACAGTGTTATCAAACACAAAAAAGGAATGAAGTAACCGGGCGAGGTAGCACACACCTGTGATCCCTGCGACTCGGGGCAGGCTGAGGCAGGAGGATAGCAAGATCAAGGCCAGCCTCAGCAACTTAGTAAGGCCCTAACTAAGTCACTCAAGGAGATCCTGTTTCAAAATAAAAACTAAAAAGAGACAGGGATGGAGCTCAGAGGTTAAGCACCCCTGGGTTCAATGCTAGGTACCGAAAAGAAAAAAAGGTAATGAAACACCACACAACATGGAGGAACCCTGGCCAAGTGAACAAAGCCGGACACACAGGCCACAGGTCGGATGATTCTAGTTCCATGAAACGTGCAGAACAAACATGGAGAGAAAGCCAATGAGTGGAGACCCAGGGTTGGGCAGAATGGGAAGGGGAGGCCGCAGGTCGTGCCCACGGGTTTCTTCCTAGTGATGAAAACGTTTGGGAATTATAGTGGTGATGGTTGCACAATCTTGTGAATATATTAAGATCACTGAACTGTACATTTTAAAATGGTGAATTTGTTAGGTGAACATATCTCAACTAAGAATTAAATTCTAGAAGTGTGTCTAAGAGGAATAGATTGAGTAGGGTTCAGGAATCAGAAAACGCAGGCTGAGAGGCCCTGTGCAACCCCTTCCTGAAGCCAAGCTCTCCCCTCAGCTCACATATGCGAAAAGAACAGGAGATGAAGTGCACTGTAAAGTACTTTGTAAACTGCCAGACAGAAGTAACAGGAATGATGGACGAGAACAGATCTCTGTGGGGAGCAGCTGCCATAGGCAGCCAAACTTCTCAGTAACAGTAAGCAGCAACCAATGTCCGTTTGCTTCTAATCAGCTCACAGAGGGGGAGTGCTAGAACCTTCTGTCTATACAAGAGATAACTCACTGGCGGCCCTTGGAGAGGAGTGGGCTGTGGAGGCTCAACCTCGCAGCCTCGCTGCACACGTTCCTGCCAATCTCAGCAAAACCATGCTGAAAAGCTACATCGCAGGAGACAAGGCTGCGAGACCCAGCCCGAGTCCCCTCCCTTCCGTCTCACAGAGACTCACACAGCCAGTCAACTTCCCCCACCGAGAGCCGGCCTGACAACTTCCTGGGCCTTCCCTAAAGAGAGTAAGGGGCTCCTCCTCCAGCTGCTCTGTCTGCAGGCCAACGCTCAGCCCGGCCATGGAGAGGAATTTGGATGAGAGGCCTTTAAAGGGTTCTCTAAGGGAGGGTGGTGGAGACTGGACCCAGAGGGTCAGCCTATTGAAGCTGAAGAGGAGTGACCTGCTCAGAGGCTGGGGCTCCCATCCTGCAGACTCAGGGTGCCAGTTCCCCCATTTGCCCTAGAGCAAGGAGTCAGCAAAACAGGAGCTCGGGTCACACAAATACCCTCAAAAACCCTCCCAGTGCAGCCATCTACCCTCAGCTCGGGGAATGCAGCCACCAAATCCCAGGAGGGGCCGAGGCAGGGGGACACAGGCACATGAACACCCAGCCCTAAATGGCGTGATGAAAGGTGAAAATCCAGTCTCAGCTGCACAGCGCCCAGAGCACTCAGTCACTGTCCCACAGACAGCCAGACCTTAGAGGTGTGCAGTCAGGTTCAAGATCTCACACCTTTGCTCGATCAGGACTGGTGGCCTCGCTCCCACAGCATCACCCCTGCACAGTCCCCAGCCCAGGACCGGGCAGAACGTCACCCACGGACCAAAGTCACCCACAGTCTCACACACACAGAGCCAGGCACACGGGAAAAGGGCCTAGAGCTGCCACGGGTCACAGATCTCAGGACGGGCGACTCGCGCACACCGGGTCCCCGCACAGCTGCCCCCAGGCGGGGGATCACCACACTGGCTCTCCAGGCCAGCTGCTCATGACGGCTGGTCCCGCGGGGACCCCGCGCCGTCGCCCCCCGCCCCGCACGCGCGGCCCAGGCCCGGGACGACGCTGCCCCCTAGCCGGCCGGGGCGGCGGACCCGGGGCTCACCTCGCTGTTGCTGGCCGAGGAGGAGGCGGCGCTGGGCGTGGGCGAGCGCTGCAGGGTCACCAGGGCCATGGCTGCGGCGCGCGAGGCCTGGAGCTGGAGCTGCCGCCGCCGCCGCCGGGCCGGGCCCGGGGCCTGCAGGAGCCGCGCGCGGGCGGCCGGGCCGAGCCGGGCCGGGCCCGCCCCTCGCCCTCGGCGTCCGCCGCCCCCGCCCCCCGCGCCGGCGCGCGCCGGGCCTCGTGCGCGGGCTGGGGAGCGGGCGGGGCGGGAGGGGCGGCGGTGCGCGTGCGCGGCCGGAGGCCCAGGCTGGCCAGTCACGTCCCCCAGACACGCAAGTCCCCAGCGGCCGCGCGGCTCCCTTGCGCCCGCCGCTCTGGCCTGAGGACCTGGTCGCACAGTCCCGGGTGGGGAAACTGAGGCCTGGGGACCGCTCAGCCAGGATGCATGGGGGAGAGGCGCTGCAGGAACCAGGAAAGGGACCCCGGGACCCTGCGCCCTGCGCTCCTCCAGCCAGTCTCTGCAGCAATTCGTTGGTTCCTTCATTCATTTGTGAACTATTTCTTGAACCCACTGGGGAGGGTGCCACAGAAAGTGCAGTGGAGTAGGCTGCGCGCCGTCGGAGATCTGACGGGTTCATCGGGTTATTAAGTGCATTTTCAAGATGAGTTTGCTTGGGGTTGACTGTGTAGATCCGAGGTAGCCTGCTTCCCCAGCAAGCCGAAGCCCCTGGGTGGGAGCCTCAGCGGCGTTTTTTAAAAAAGTTGTTCGCTAATCTTGTTCTATGGATTCCTTTTATGTGTCCAGAAACCCAGCTAGATCCTTGGAGAGCAAGCGGGTGGGGTGGGAGAAAGCTTCCCCGAGGAAGAGATGTGTCCAAGGCCTGACTGTGCGCGGGCTTAACACGTGGAGGGAGAGGAGACAGCCCGCTGGCAAGGGACCCTGCGGAGCCCCTTCACAAAGACTGGAAACAGGAAGGGGGTTGTCAACCAGAGGCTCAGGCTCCGCTGGGGGAAGAGGAAGGAGTGGTGAGAGTCAAGTCCACTCTTGAAAGATGGACCGTTGGGCAGTGGGCTTCTGTGGTCCTGGGGAGAGCAGTGTGGGGGTGGAGAGAGGGAAAGGAATATGAGGCAGACACCAAGGAAATTGTACTGGTGGACATAATAATGGGAAGCTTCTCTTTCACCCAGAACCCCCCTCCCAACACCACTATGTGTAGTAGGCACACTCCTAAGGCAGGCCTCCAGTTCTGCTCCCCATTGTAGCAAATGGCTCCACCTTGCCCAAACAGAAACCCACTGGGTGTTCCTGATCCATCAAGTCCTCCATAATCCCTGGGCCAAGGCCTCAGCACTGTCCATCTCAGGGGGCTTGTCAATCAGGAATAAAGAGCTGGAGATGTAGCTCAGTGGTCGACTGGCCCTGATTAAATCCCCAGTAGCAGGAAACAAATGAAATAATTTTCATTCGGAAGCTTTGTTGAGAGTGGGCCACCTTTAGGGAAAAGGGAGTGTTTTGTTGTTTGTGTTACTGGACATGGAACCCAAGGCCTTGTGCAAGCCAGGCCAGCACTCTACCACTGGGCTACACCCCAGCCCAAAGTGCCCCTCACATTAGAGCAGCCAGCACTACACACCTGTCCAGGCTCTTAGTGGACAGATGGCCACATGGATTTAATACTTATTTTAAAAGGTCAAATATAAAGCTTCGTTGTGGACACAGTTCCATAGAAAAGGGACTGTCTTCTCAAATCCAAGCACATTATCAGAAATAGGCATAAGCTTCTGAAACCTCCCCACATCCTCTCCCCGGGGAGCTCTGTCCAAGTATTTGCATGTGACAATGCATGTGGGTTCATTCATGCTTTATTTATTTCTTCTGTGTCTTCTTTTTTTTTTTTTTTTTTTTTTTTTAAAGAAAGAGTGGGAGAGAGAGAGAGAGAGAATTTTTTTTTTTTAATATTTATTTTTTAGTTCTCGGCGGACACAACATCTTTGTATGTGGTGCTGAGGATCGAACCTGGGCCGCACGCATGCCAGGCGAGCGCGCTACCGCTTGAGCCACATCCCCAGCCCCTCTTCTGTGTCTTCTTTATGTTAGTTTTCAAGTTTGAGGGTTAGAGAATCCCCTGGAGAAAACACACCTTAGGCCCCACCCTCCAGGGTTTCTGATTCACTAGGTTGTGGGTAGGACTGGAAAATTTGCAAGTCCAATGATGCTTCTGGTTTGGGGACTACCATTTAAGACCCCTTGCCATGGCCTCCTTACCAAGAAACTCTCGCCTAGATCTGATCCTGCTATTTGTCCTTGGCCCTAGGTCCTAATGCCCCTGCCCTGGCCCTGCCTGCCTCTCAGGGCCTCTGGCTTGGCCCTATCTTTCTGGAGGTGAGCCCCACCCTTTCTCACTTCCTCCTACAGTGAGAAGCTCTCTTTTCTCCCACAGTCAACTCTTGCCCCAAACCCTCCCTGCCCCTTAGTAGAGTTCCTTCCTGGACTTCATAGCCCTTGTCTGCTCCCAGCCAGATCAACAGCTACTCCACCATCAGGATACATTCATCTCTCTTCCACCACCGTCCCACAGTCCTCACAGATAGAGCAAAACGGAAGGGGATGCCCCCAAAACTCAGTGATCAGAATGAATTAAATTTGGGGTCTCACTAAATTGCTTAGGGCCTTGCTAAGTTGCTGAGGCTGGCTTTGAACCTGCCATCCTCCTGCCTCAAACTTCCGAAATTACAGATGTGTGCCACTGCACCCAGCAGGATAAATAAAGTTTTAATGCAATTTTTTAGGATATAAAAATGAGTGCAAGGGCTGGGGCTGTAGCTCAGCGGCAGAGCTCTTGTGTGAGGCACTGGGTGTGATCCTTAGCACCGCATAGAAATAAACAAATAAAGGTATGCCGTCCATACACAACTACAAAAAAAAAAAAATTTTTTTTTAAAAAGAATGCAAGAAAATCCATGAGGAACCAAAATTTTTTTTAATTTTTATTTTTTTAGTTGTAGATAGACACAATACCTTTATTTTATTTGTTTTTTATGTGGTGCTGAGAATCAAACCCAGGGCCTTTCACGTGCTAAGCAAGCACTCTACCACTGAGCCACAACCCCAGCACCCTCCCCCCCAATTTTTTTTTTTAATAAAGACAGAATTTCCTTTCACCTCAGTCTCCCATAACAATTTTATTGATTCGTCTTGATTTAAAAGTTTGATCATGCTAAACTCTTCCGTGAAAATAGCCTGTAGCCATGCCCGGTGGCACATGCCTGTCATCCCCGCAGCTCGGAGGCTGAGGCAGGAGGATCCAAGCCAGCCTCAGCAACTTATCGAGGCCCTCCTCAGCTCAGTGAGACCCAGGCTCTAAATAAAATATAAAAAAAGGCCTGGGATGTGGCTCAGTGGTTAAGCGCCCCTGGGTTCAATCCCTGGTACCAAACAAACAGCCTGCAGCTTGACTCTGGTGACCTATAAGAGATGGGGTGGGAAGGAGAAGTGAAAACCCTCAGGCCACAGTCAGTGGAGTCCCAAGGAACCTGCAGAGGAGGAGGCTCTGGAGTTATTTTACGTCTAGCCCTTCCCGAGGGGCATCATCCTCGTGACCCTTTTTTTTACCAGTACTTGTGTAATCACATTTGACCTCACCCTTGCAGTCACAGTTCAGTTGTGTAACTATTGAAAGGTGCACAGGGCTGGGTTGTGGCTCAGCGGTAGAGCACTCACCTAGCACATGCGAGGCCCTGGGTTCGATCCTCAGCACCACATATAAATAAATAAAATAAAGGTATTGTGTCCAACTACAACTAAAAAATAAATATCGAAAAAAAATTGCACGTTGTTGAGTTTGGGTACTCTCAAGTACGGTGGGATGTGGTGTATTCCAGGGACACCTCCTCCAGGAAGTCTTCCCTGGCCCCTGACTGTGTTGGGGCCCCTTGTCTATGCCTTGTGCATCCCTGGGTTGGGCAGTATTAGGTATGTCAGTCACTTCTTGTCAGTTGTGATTCTCATTTCCTGGATGATCCCATTTCATGGGTGAGGGAATGGAGACCAGAGATGGTCACTCATCCAAGTTCACAGAACGAGGGTGTGGTAGAGTTACTATGCAAATCCATGTTGTGCTGCTTTAGAATTCAGGCAAAAGAGTCAGGCACAGTGGTGCAAATCTGCCATCCCAGCTACTCAGGAGTCTGAGGCAGGAGGATGTCAAGTTCAAGGCCAGCCAGGGTGGTTTAGCAAGGCCCTGTCTCAAAATAAAAAATAAAAAAAGTTGGAGATGTAGCTCAGTAGTAGAACATCCCTGGGTTCAATCCCCAGTGCTACAGAAGAATAAAATAATATAAAGTAAGAAAAAGTAGAATTCAGGCAAAATGTTATCATCTTTTCCCAGGATGGTTTAGGAAGAGGGAAGGGAAGAGAACTCTAGTTCCTTTTTTTTTTTAAGTGATGTATTAGTTCTTTTTCTTTATACATTTATTTATTTATTTATTTATATGTGGTGCTGAGGACCGAACCTGGCGCCTCCCACATGCTAGGCGAGTGCTTTACTGCTGAGCCACGACCCCAGCCCTCTAGTTCCCTTTTTGGAACAAATATTTATAATTCCTTCTTAACTATTCCTTTGGTAATGAAATTCAGAGATAACAAAGCTCTGGTAGGTTGAAACATGTTCTTGTCCCACTCTCTGGACCCCGTGACTCTGTCATCTTCATAGAAAAAGGGATCCTGCCGAGGTGGTCATGTTATTGGAAGTGGTCTGGGTGTGACTCCAAGGGTTCCTGTGTTAGAAGCTTCGTCCCTACTGTAGGAATAGTAGGAGATGGTGGGCCCTTTAAGAGATGGGGCCTAACGGGAGGTCCTTAGGTCATTAAGTGCTCTGCCCTCAGATGGAATGAGTGCTTGTAGGACCCTGGTGAGTTTTCACACGGGGGTTGTTACAAAAGAGCAAGATGCACTCCACAGTCTCCCCCTGGTCACTAACTCCTGCCATGATGCCATCCATCAGAATGTGGTGTGGCCAAGTGCGGCTACATGGGGCCATTCCGTGACTCTGAACCTCCAGAATTGTGAGCTAAATAAATCTCTTCCTTCTGCCTTGTGAAGACGTTCTGTGGCCACGAGCCAAGCCAAGGCACATCCAAG